TGAAGTCCACAGCCCTGGGCCTGGCAGATGCCGATTGGTGCCCAGAGTGCAGCGTCCTGGTTTCTCCAGGACGCCTCACGGCCGACGCTCAGCCTTCCTCCTACTTGACATGGCCGCCTCATGCTGAGGTCGCTCTGCTGTAATCCAGGAACCCCCTTACCAATGTGCGGGAACCCCATGGCCCAGGACTCCATGATGGGTTAGTTCCTCATAGAAAGGAAGGTGGGTGCCCCATGAGGCCACACGAATGCTCACAGCAGGGACAGACACACTCTAGAGACACGCCCACCAGTGAGAGGATGGCTATATATGAAGCGTCTTAGTGGCCATGAGCTGAATGACCAGGACACACTCTAGGTGGTTCTGCCTTTGTGCAAGCATGCAGTGTAATCACACAATCAGAAGTGGCACAGATACCGTACACCAAGATGCAATGGTACAGCCACCTGGGCCCACTGTCCAATGTGCAGCCTGTTACTGACCAAAAAGGCAAATGGAGGGGCCCTTCCTGGTGGCACAACAGATTAAAGCACAGCACTGTGAAGCTGTCTGAAGCCACTGCATCACGAGTTCGATTCCCAACCAGGGGGGTGACCCACAGGGCTTGACAGACCTCTCCTGACCCACCCGCTGCTCTGCTCAGCAGTGTGTTTTAGTCAGCCGGCCTGTTCTGCTCTCCACTCTGTCGCTGGTGAATCCTCTCACCCCCCAGACCTCCGGCCTGTACCATAGCTTTTATATGCATAAATAAATAGATCTAATAAAAAAAAAAAGCCAATGGAATACTACGCAGCTGTGAAAAGCGAACTGCTACTACACAGCAGTGGATGTCTCTACTGATGCAATACTGAAGGAAACAAGCCAGACAAAGACTGTTGGTAGGTCTGTGTCTGTGCTAATTAGGTGTCAACAGTAGCCACCTGTGGGAGGGGAGCTCACCTGGAGGAAGTAGTGTGGGGCATCGGGCAGGGAGGTGTGCGATGCGGATGGCGTCACACATGGCGTGTGCCTCAGACGACGCACTTTCCTGTAAGTTACTGCTAATGTTAAACAAGTAACAAAACCCATACAAACCTCTAGACTAGACTGGGGCTGGTTCGTATCCAGACCTCCCCGTGGCTGCCCTGGACTTCCAGCCTGCTTCTGGCAGGTCCTCCTCTCAATCTATGCCCGAGCTGAAAACCCACTGGCTCTACCAACTGTCACCCCCGCCCCCAGCAAGCGAGGAAGGGCCTGTGAAGTGGTCAAGACCTGGGTTGCTGCCATCTCAATCTTGCAAACCACAGCCCCCTTGCCCCTGCGGCCGGCTTCCTTTCATTCTCTCCTAGCTCCAACCCCTGGCTGGGGAGCCAGCCGGGCACCGCGACCTCGCCAAGCCGGGCAGCCGGCCGCCATGAGGTTACAGCCATGCGGGGCTGCTCCAGCCTCAGAGGTGGGGAAACCCAGACTCCAGGCTCTGGTTCACCTTTCGCGCCTGGAGCTCACCCCAGGGAGGGGCGCAGAGGGGAGGGGCCGCGGAGGGAGGGAAGGGGAAGTAAGAGGAGCTGGGCAGACTGGCCGGAGGGCTGATGCAGAACCATCCCGCAGGCCGCTTGCTGATGCCCGCCTCCAGCAGGCAATTATTTCCCTGCTCCCAATTAACACTGCGAGGCGCCACGCCACGGGAGTGGGGTGGGGGGTGGGGGAGGACTTGAGCCTCCTGTCGGGAGGGAGCCAGTCCCAAGCCCTCCTGCTCAGACGAGCAGGAAAGACAATTTCCCAGCCCCCTCCACAGCCTTCCCTTGCCTGGCAGCCACCCCCGCCACCCTGCCCAGCGCCCAGCCGCAGCGCCCACATCAGAGCTCCGGCCCAGCCTCTCGCCTCACCAAAGTGACTTCAACTCGTTTTGGGTTGTCACTGTGCAGGGAGAAAGCCCAGGTCAAAACCCGGACCCAAGAGAGGGGGCGGTGGGCAGCAGTGACCCTTTTACTCTGGGAAAACCAATGCTGCACCCCCAGGGGCTTCTGTACTGGGGTGGGGGGTGCAGAGCAGCTTGAGCCCTCACCCCATAGACATTTAGAGAAAGATCCAGCCCAGGTGTATGTGGGGGGGAGGCCAGGGGGAGGGAGCGGAGCACAGGGAGGGAGGGAGAGGCCCCTTCCAGCGACTGGAAGGGTTAACGCTCCCCAGTGAGGGGCAGCGTGACTGTCCGCTGACTGTGACTCAATGCTTAGCCTGGGTGAATGGGGCTTCCTCATCCCACCCTCAGCTGGGCTTCCTGCTCCGCCAGTCCTGCAGAGTCCTGCCCCCAAGTTAGGTGGGGTGTGGGATCCCTGTGGTCCTCGGTCCAGCCCTAACTCCCTCCCCTCCAGGCAGGCTGAGGTCTGCCCCCCCACGTGGACATGTCCCACGTGGACATGTGACACCGGCCTTACACATTAGGGTGCTCTCCTGCGGCTCCACGTGTGTGCCTGGGAACGGCAGTCTAGGGGTGCAGGGCCAGGAAAGCTGGGACAGCTTACCAAAGCCTCTTGGGGGGCTGTTCACCAGCGTCTGGTCTCCCTCCCCTGGATAGTGATGGTGACACACGGGCCAGGCCAGACGGGCTTGCTCTGGGGTCCATGCTGGCTTGTTCTGGGAGTCACAGCAGGCCAGGCCTCTTTGTGTCTCCCAAACCTACCCATGGACACCTGGACAGTGGGCTCCCTTCTCCCCAGCAGTGAGAGTGACGCTGGCCACGTGTTTGATGCCCACTACCTTGTCGGGACCTTCCAGGAGCTCATCCCCAGCTCCACTTCTCACCGACAAAGGTGCGAAGTCTCGGGGGAGGCCAGGCCCGCTTCCCCGCAGGACAAAGTCCCGTCCCCACAGCCAGCCACAGCCCCATGGGGTAGCCTGACGGGGCTCAGAGGGTCAGGCTGTTCCTCCGCCCTCAGGTCCACCCTACCCGCTGTGCCAACCCAAGGCCACCTTCCCAGGGGCCGGAGGACAGAGGCTGGGCTGTCTGACAAGGACTCTTGCTCAAGGCCTAGGGGAGGTGGGGAGCCGTCCACTGCTCCCTCACACCAAGCAGGTGGTGAGGGCCGGGCTTCTTCAGGAGAGTTCTGAGAATGACCAGACTCGGGGATTCCAGGTTAGAGCACGCAGACCCCTGCCCCCCAGCTCCGCTTGGGCCCAGCGCTGGCCCAGGTCCATCTCCAGAGCCTTTGGGGTGTGCATGTGCCAGTGTGTACGTGACCACAGGCCTGCACTGTTTTGGACATCTGGGGTGAGCTAAAGTCCTTCCTGCTTCTGTTTTCAGTCTTTTCTGTACCCCAGGGGTACTGTACTTGGGGCAGCAGGCTGATCCTCAAAGCCAGCTGTTGATGCCTGTCACTGGGTCTTGTGACCCGCTGTGGGGGCCTCTGTGCACGGACTACCCCCCCAAACCTGCACGGGGATGTGAGGCTGGGGCCCCGCCCCCGCCCCGCGAGTCTTAGCTGCAGTGGCACCATGCCCAGAAGGCCCCGGCTGCGGGGGCAGTGTGCACCCCACATCTGGCAGGTACTGTCCCGTCAGGTTCACTGAGAGCCGAGATGATGCTGGCGCCCATTCTGCGGCGGTCACTGGCCCTGGCACTGCGCTCGGGAGGAAAGGGGGCGCAGAGGAGGACAGCCATGGGGGAACTTAACCAAGCCAGGAGGCGCCTTCAATAACAGCAGCGCGGACTTCCGTCCTGGCCCCCACGCCAGCCCCATCCGGGTCTCAGGTCAGGGAGGGGGAGGGTGCGCGGGGCCAGAGCCCTGGTCCGGGGGAGGGGATGCCCCTGGAGTCATCCAAGGCCAGCCACAAGTGCCAGGGTCTCTGGGCGCCTCTGCCACCTCCACACGCTGCTGAAGGGCAGGGCGGGCTCCGCTCCACCGGCCACGCTGCGGCTGGACAGGTGCTGTCCGGGGCACTGGGTGGGGCGCTCGTCCTCCCACACTGCACCGGGGTCTTCTCTACTCCCTATTTGGACTTCCTCTGAACTGTGGCTGGAGATATCCCTGGGACAGGATCTGGGGCCCAGGGTTTGGGACCCCCCAACAGCTGTCTCTGAAATCATATCCGCCTCTTTTCATGCATTCATGAGGAGCGGAAGAGCCCCTGGTGGGGAACAGGACTTCCAGGGGCTGGGCTCTGGGAGCGGGAGGGGGCGATTTGGAGGGCACGGGGCCTCCTTGGGCTCGATGGTGTGCTCTCCCCGAAAGGCAGGAAGGGGTCCTGCTGCCCCCTCCTCCTCGAAGGACAGGCACCATCTGCCCAGACCCGAGAGTGGCAGGGACAGTAGGGGATATTATTAGGCTCCCTGTCACCAGTGCGACACACCCTTCTGGATCAGGATCCTCCCCCCTCCCCCACAGGAGAAGGCCTGGGGGGGCTGTGTGTGGAGGATGGGGGGAGGAGGGGGGAGAGCAGCTGACTCCCAGTGCAGCCACCACCCCTGCCAGCCCCACACAGGGAGATGGAGCCCGAGAACCAGACACGGCAGGTGGGGCTGCCCAGGTCAAAGTCCCAGAACTGGCAGCGATCAGGATGGGCCCCACCCCGGCCTTTGCAGCCCCTGGGTCTTTGGTTTATCTGAGAAATGACTCAGTTGAGCCACTGGGGCTGGACTGGGCTAGGAGAGACATGGGAATTTCTGGAGATTCTGCAGCAGTGTCTGGGTGGGAAGGCTGGGGGTCAGGAACCCCAGAGGGGCATACCAGCAGAGCAGAAAAAGGGCAAAAGGGAGAAGAGGAGGAAGTGACTGGCCAAGAAGCGGAGACTCCAGAAGTCCGGGACTAGCTGGGCTGCCTGCGTTGGGGGCCGGGAAGGGTCTGCTGGGGGCTGCCTGTCTTTCTCCAAACACACACGTGGCCGTCGGTGCTCGGCTCCGGGGACAAGTCAGCCCTCCCGGCCCCGCAGGCTTCCCGGAGCGGCCCAGGCAGGGGAGCGAGGGGCCGCCCCGCCGCGCCGCCAGGGGCAGGGAGGAGGGTGCCCCAAGACCGCCTCGGGACTCCACAGCTTCCATCCAAACTTCTCCTGGTCACCAGCCCCCGCAAGAGCGCTCGTCTGGCAACCAGGGAGAAGGAACATCGGGCGGCCTCGGGTTCCCGCAGCTCTCGCGCAGGAATTTCCCGGGTACTGGGGTAGACCGCGCCCCCGAGTCCGGACGCCCGCGGCGCCCTTCCGCGGCCGGCCGCCCCCGCGTCCTCGCTCCCCTTCCCCGCCGCCGCTCAACTCCCACTTTCCAGGCTCCGGGCGCGTGAGGCTCGCTTGGCCGCAGGCCACGGGTCCCGGGGCCGAGGGGAAAGGCCTCCGGGGAGAGCGGGGGCGGGGGTTCGGGGAGGCGCTGGCCGAGTTGGGGAATGGAGGAGGGGTGGCGGCGGCACTCGGGGCGCCGGCCGGCCGAGGCTCGGGGCTGGGACTCACCTCCTGGTAACTCTCATCGCGGGGCTTGAAGGTGCTGTCGACGGGCTGCAGGCGCAGGTCGAGGCGCGGGACGCTGTGCAGCCACACCACCCACCAGGGCGCGACGTACTCCACGCGCGCGGCCGGCATGGCTCGCCCGAGTGGGCCTCCGCCGCCGCCCCAG